TTAGATTCCTACTCAACTAATTTTGTCAAGACTGACTGTGTTGTAGATATCAATCTGTGCAATCTTATTTTTCTCCCTCCCCAGTTGTGAACAGTACCTGTCTGTACAGGTTCTTCCGCTACATTGAGAACCGCGACGTTGCCAAGCAAGTTCTGAAGGAAAGGGGCCTGAAGAAGATCCGTCTGGGAATAGAAGGGTACCCGACGTACAAGGAGAAAGTGAAGAAACGGCCTGGCGGTAGAGCTGAAGGTATGCCTCGTCAAGTTACAATGTACTTGTTCCTTTTGCTATGTTCGCTCCCACATTAGACCCCCACCATCCCCCTCATTTTGGAGACCCAGAGCTATCTTACAGCTTAATTGAGAGCATTCGAGCAAAGGAATGAATGGAGAACCATGATGGCCGATGTCTGTCGCAGATCTGGCATTTGGTGATGATTAGAGGAAAGGGAAATAAGGAGTAGACAGAAGTTGAGAGAACAGTCTCATTCTTTGTTGGGTGTTGGCTCATGGCTCAGGGTCACCTGGTTCATCCGTAACAACTGCTAGTGATCTGTCAGGCCTGTCTAGATCTTGTTCGTATACGACTCCCAAAGCACTGAAATCAAACTAACCGCTATGTCTGTCTATACTTATTCTGGAATTCTTCATGGCTCATGCTCAAAACAAAACAAAAAACTAAAAATGCTGTTGATGTTCATGTGGAGGGCTCAAATGTGAGTGCACTGTTTGGGGAAAGTAAACGCGCTGAGTTCTCACCACGATCTGATCCTGTCATGGGGCAAACCTTGCTCTCACCCTTTGATATTTACAACAGAAATGTGATCGCATTCATGGGAGTAGTTGGTCGGAGATGCGACTGACATATAAGTTTTTGCAATCTTTCACTACGCTGTTTAGTTGATCTTAGTTGATCAGCTGCACACACCCCGGTTTTTTCTCAGCAAATAATCATGTGAAATGTGGGATCTTAGAAGAATTTAGTCCCTAGAGCGGGGTCTTAGAGATTGCTTGTGTACTAAACACCAACAGCGTCTTTAGTGAACTGGGATTATAAACTGTGGGATCTTAGGCGGAGACTGTTGTATTAAGTTTTGACACCGTTAGAAATAATGAAACAGTGCTTCCTTTCATCTGTGATACCTAATTTATAATTTTGTTATAATAAAGTTGCTATTAACCCTTTGTCTCAGGAATTATTTTTTTTGCATGTGTACGGAATTAAATTCTGAGCTGTCAAAATAGAGTAGAGGGTCACTTTCTTTGGCTATTAGTTCTTGTCGATAAAGCTGCAACTTTGTTTTATACCTCATTAGAAAGGAAAATGAATGTAGAATCAGCTTAATGTAAACTGCTGAGTCAAAATGGGAACCAGATAGTACCGAGTCATGTTGTGTGTTCATTTTGGAATAAACTATCATATTCTCATCAGTGGGTGACTACGGCCGCTCGTCTAAACAGGATGAGCTCAGCGGCCAGTGCCACCAGCCACTTGGAGACATGGGGTTATGGTTGTAGTTGTAGATCTATCCAAGGTGTGTGTGTGGGTTGTGATACGTTGGTGTGTTGTTTTCTCCCTGCCCAGTGATCTACAACTACGTCCAGAGGCCTTTCATCCGCATGTCCTGGGAGAAGGAAGAGAACAAGAGCAGGCATGTGGACTTTCAGTGCGTCAAGTCGAAATCCATAACGAATCTGGCTGCTGCCGCTGACGAAGCCTCTTTCCACCATCACGACCAAGGCATTTTGCAACAGGTACGTGTCCTGGTGTTATTAGGGCACACTTGAGAGTGATGTGCTGTTGTGTTGATGGTGCCGTTAAACCCGTACATTTACGCGTTGTGTTGATAGGACTGTGTGATAAACCCATACATTTACGCGTTGTGTTGATAGGACTGTGTGATAAACCCATACATTTACGCGTTGTGTTGATAGGACTGTGTGTTAAACCCATACATTTACGCGTTGTGTTGATAGGACTGTGTGTTAAACCCATACATTTACGTGTTGTGTTGATAGGCCTGTGTGTTACACCCATACATTTACGCGTTGTGTTGATAGGACTGTTAAATCCATACATGCTGTGGTGATGATGGGACCTTGACTCACTTGCTGCCAAGTATTTTATGGCTCTACTCCTTGGGTCTGTCAGCGAGTGAGTTCATCCCATACACGTACACATGCTGTAGTCCTTTGTCCATAAACATACACGCTGTAGTGCTCTCTCCACGGAGCTTTCTGCCCACTCTCTCGCTCTGATATGTATGTCACTCTGATATGTATCTCACTCGCTCTCATATGTATCTGACTCACTCTGATATAGCGCCCACTCTCTCACTCTGATATGTGTCTCACTCACTCTGATATGTATCTCACTCACTCTGATATATCGCCCACTCTGATATGTATCTCACTCACTGTGAGATATCGCCCACTCTCTCACTCCGGTGAAAGAGAAACCGTGCTGTCAAGTTCTGTCTTTGAACATTCAATAAAGTTTGCTATTTTCTCTGTGTATCTTTCAGGCCCAGGATGGAACCATCAACGTGATCCCCCCACAGCCTTCACCCTCGGAGCCTTATCCCGATGTCCAACTTCCTCCGGAGGCTCTCGACTAGGCGCACGCCTAGTTGAGGCCGTGTATTTCCCCGATGTGTGGGCCTCAGTTCTTGCAAAGATTTGTTTTGAAGGCTGGGTTTTATTTTTTTGTTTGTGAGAGCGAGAGAGGAAGTTTTGGGTGGTCACAGAGGCATGGAATAGGGCATACCGTATGTGTGAGAGGTTCTGCTGGAATGGAATAAGGTATATATGTGTGAGAGGTTCTGCTGGAATGGAATAAGGTATATATATATGTGTGAGAGGTTCTTCTTGAATGGAATAAGGTATATATGTGTGAGAGGTTCTTCTTGAATGGAATAAGGTATATATGTGTGAGAGGTTCTTCTTGAATGGAATAAGGTATATATGTGTGAGAGGTTCTGCTGGAATGGAATAAGGTATATATGTGTGAGAGGTTCTGCTTGAATGGAATAAGGTATATATGTGTGAGAGGTTCTGCTTGAATGGAATAAGGTATATATATATGTGTGTGAGAGATGGTGCTTGAATAGAGTAGGGCGTTTGTGGAAGAGGTGCTGCGTGAATGATAGGTGAACTGTTGATGAGGGGATGGTCAGGGTATTTGTTGCCTGACGGTAGATGTTTTCTGTGTGCTGAGTATTGAACGGTTGTGCGTTAAAAAGTCTGTAGTTTGCTAATGAGTGCACTCACACTCACTGAGAGTGTTGAGCTGGGAGATGTTTTCTGTGTGCCTAGTGGTGAACGGCCGTGTGTTACAAGGTCTTTAGTGTGCTAATGAGTACACACACCCGCTGACAGTGGTGAGGAGGAAGATATTTTCAGTGTGCTGAGTTGTGAGCAGTCGTGTGTGAAAAGGAGGTCTGTAGTAGTAGTATGCTAATGAGTACACACACACACAGGCTGGTAGTGTTGGGCATGAAGTAAGTCAGTCTGGGAACACACATTTTGCCAGAGATATAGTGAAGAAAACCTTGTCTGACTCTGATGTCCAAAGCCTTATAGAGTTTGGGAGTTAGTTGAGCAAATCGTTTGTTACAGTTGTTGGATCAGATCGTGTTGAATCGTGTAGGAAAATATTTGTGCGTGTGCCTGCGACTGGGTTACTTCTCGTCAACAAGGTCGCTGTGTCCGTGCAGACGTCTCACCTCAGGCAAACCTGCTGCATTTGCAATTTTTGTCAAACGATGATGTATTGTGTCCTTTTTTTTTTCTTTTTTGAAATTGTTGTTGAGCAAATAAATCAATGTGTGAGTTGAGAGAAGCGACTGTGACAACTGCTGAGTAGCCTGCTTATTTCCCTGATTTCAAAAAAGCTACATGGGTGGTTGGTGGGTGCTCTGGTGCGGTTTGCTTCTTCTTTCCCATGAAGCATCTATCGTCCTTATCTGATCTCTCCTCCTTCTTTTTTGTGTTTCTTTCTCTCTTGTAACACCTCTAATCTTCGGCACTTATATGACCTTATTGTGTTGCAAGTGCCGTAAAACTCTTACTAGAACTTTAAAAAGCTACAATGCCACATGTCAGTTGTCAGTAACAGGAAATGTTGTCTGCGAACTAAACACCCTCACCTGTCAGAGGATTTATCCCTTCTCTACTTCTCATAATGTTCCTGTCTGTCTTGTGGCTATCTCCCAACCTCATCTCTACCATGAAAGTAGCAAGATCTAAATGTTCTCAGCTTAACTGTGTCAGATCAGACAATCTGTCTGTCTATCTAGCTGACTACTGTATGTCAGATCTGACAATCTGTCGTCTATCTTGCTGACTACTGTCTGTCAGATCTGACAATCTGTCTGTCTATCTGGCTGACTTCTGTATGTCAGATCTGTCTGGCTGACTACTGTGTGTCAGGTCTGACAATCTGTGTGTCAGATCTGACAGTCTGTCTGTCTGACCATTGGCTGCTCTCTGTTGCTTCACACGTTCTGTTTTGGTTTTTGGTATGTGTGCTTCTGTTCTCTGCGTCCAATATTAGAATTTATGTTTCCATGGTAACGCAGTGCTTGACGTGAACAGGGAAGCTGCTGGGTGTGTGAGCCAGCTAAAGTTATAACATTATTTCACATGTACACAAAGCTTTTGCCTGGAGTGTGCTTGGTTGGGTTTGGTGGACACAACTGGTCAAAGTTGAAAAATATGTCAAGAAATAGCAGAACTAGAACTCCACCTAAACTGTTTCTCAGCATGTATGAGAAAAAGAATGTGCTAAAGCTGATTTTGAAATCATGTTTTCCTCTTGCAAATTCTGACCTTGATGCATTTATTGATATATTATACATGATGTAATATTCTGTTACAAGAGAAAAGATGCTCCTATAGATAAACAGATACATTTGTGGCTTGTTGGTTTTTTCAAAAATGGTCCAATCATTAGACAGAAAGAATTCCAACATTTCGGAAAATTGATGTCTCATTTTTGTGCATGGTCCCTCTTCCATGTTGCCAGATGCCACATTGGCTCTGATCTCACCGAGTGTAATGTGATTCCATGACCACAAGATGGCCAACAATACATATAATTGTAATATATATACAGGGGGAGATTACAATTACCATTGTTTCATAACGGGAGAGAGGGGGGAGGAGGCTGAGGTCGAGTCTCTGTCTACTAGAAAAATAAAATGTGAGGCATCGTGGTTAAATAAATCAGGTGCTTGTCAAAATACTGATGTAGAAGAAACTGACATCTTTCCGGCTGTTGGGCAATTTTTATTGAAATTTGTGTGTTCGTTGGGGGTAGGGGGGGGGGGGGGGTTGCACTCAACACATTTTATGTCCATTTAAAAACTCATTTTTGTGTGGAATTTACAAAAAAATGTAGATCAAGGGCTCCAAATATTAGATTTCCAGGGACATTCTCAAGCTTTGGGGGTCACCAGATGTTTTGGCCGCCATTTACTCGTTAATTTTATCTTTGAAAGCAGGCGACCCTCACCTCCTTCAAGTGCAAATATCTCAACTTGTATTCAAGAATAGATGGGTATTTGTCAATTGCAAATATCTCAACTTCTATTCCAGAATAGATGGGTATTTTGTCAAGTGCAAATATCTCAACTTGTATTCCAGAATAGATGGGTATTTTGTCAAGTGCAAATATCTCAACTTGTATTCCAGAATAGATGGGTATTTTGTCAAGTGCAAATATCTCAATTTCTATTCCAGAATAGATGGGTATTTTGTCAAGTGCAAATATCTCAATTTCTATTCCAGAATAGATGGGTATTTTGTCAAGTGCAAAAATCTCAACTTGTATTCCAGAATAGATGGGTATTTTGTCACCTTGAAAAGCAAGACAAACGAAAGAGCTTCATAGATTCCAACTTGTCCCAGTAACTCCATGTCCAGAAAGTGGTGAGCACCTGATTGGAGGGCATGGTGACACATTATATTGCGCTGGCTCCGTCTTGGCTTGGGACGTGTCTGTGACTGGTTCTGTCACCGAGGGAATGCTGTGGTCAGTTGAGAGAGAGGCTGTGTGATGAGGTGGTGGAACGACTGCGTCTCTTAGTTGGTCGTATTGCTTTTTGTATTTTTAATGGACTGAAGAATGGTTGCCAACTACTGACTCTATGATGAGTTTGTTGAGCGGATACTGTGTGCTATGATATTAAACAAAACAAGTGCTCTGTTTGTCTTTGCCTCTGCAGGGAGCACAATTTCAATTTGCTTCTGAGTTATGTTGTAAACAGTATATCAGTAACCAGTGTCTACAGTGGAAATATAAAATGTGTGCTTTATAGTGGGAATGGAACGTTTTCTACTTGCATTGTATATATATATTATTATAAATAATAATGTGTTCTGTATATTTAGGCTTATTGAAATTTTCTTCTTCTTCTTTAAAACATTTTTTTTATTCGTTAAAAAAATTTGTTAAGCAAATGCAGTTTTTAAAGAGATGTCACTTCTTGCCTTTAGCCTTTCATGCCTTTTTTTCTAGAAGGAACAGCTTGCAAGTCTTAGATGCTCATGGGTGAAAGTCTTCTAGTCTATTTAAACAGATTTCCATCATTTTTTAGATCAGGGAAAAGAGAAATTCCCTTCTGAAACTAATAATCAGCTTTTGATATTCCACACTTGTTTTTGTTTTGAAGATTTACTATTTAAAGTTTTCTGAGCAAAGTGAAAGAGGCAATGTGTAGTGCAGATTTAGAGGTCTTCGTGTATTTGATGGTCCTACACTTTTACATTTAGAGTCATGAATCAACGAGAGCCTCAAATTTGAAGCATCTTTTTTTTTTTGTTTCTTCCTTGTACACCCATTTTGTCACGACCAGAATAAATTCATGATGTGGACAGTGAAATTTTTCATACAATACTAATTTTACTCCGTGTTTGAAACTAGCATTAAAAAAAAAAGCTGCTTTTATCAGTATTGCAATTATCTTCCTGAAAATGAATATATATAATGAAAAGTAACATTTTTCCACTAATGCCTGGTTCTCGCTTTGCATCATCACAGTAAACTATATATTACTATATAAAAAAAATAAAAAATAAACTGTATTAAACGAGCAGGGGTGGCTGGAAGGCGCTACCAGTAGGCCCTACTTTTGGAGCACTGTGGTACATGTTTCCCTCTGGTTTACTCTATTCCAGCACAAAATGAAGGTCGTTGTTGTGCTTTTGCTTAGTACAGAAGAAACTCCGGCCAGGAACTGTCTTTGAAGGGGGTTACTGATAGAAAGTCAAAAACTCATGAAAAATACATACCTGGTTAGAGGGAGAAACACTCCATTTTCAGAAAACTGATGACAGAATTAAAGGGATAGAGTTTCAACTATTGTGGACCAAATTATATGTACCTTTAATAGGTAGAAGAAGAACACCACTGTTGTATATTCTATTTGCTCACTCCGAATAAACTATTGTTGAAAAAAAACAACAGGTCCTCTAAACTTTGTAACAGTATCAGTAAGATTTTGCCGCATGCGTGGAAGCTCTTGGTGTCATGGAAGTACTGTATAATGTAAAGATTACCATGAGGATACCTGTAGATCTATGTGTTGCTATTGTTTGAGAATTTCTTTCATTCTCAGGCATGTGAAAGAGACTAAGGCGATTCTAACTGCAGTTGCTTTTTGCTTTTCGGACATGAAATTAAAGGTTTATCAAATGTTCATGTAAAATATTGACTATGAAGCATGCATGAATTCGCATAAATTGCACATTTAATAAACGGTTTACTCAAAATGGTACTCCTGTGTTCATATGTTATACATGTTCTTGTACTGTAAATCTATATCATCTTACAAACTGAGGGGCATGAAAATCTTTCGGCTATGTACGAATTTTGTCCGCTGTATATGAGTTCGCTATGTGACTATGTGCATGCTAGACTTTATACGTAGACACTATTTTATTATATTCCAGCAAGATTGTTCAATTCTTGGTTCTGATGAAAGTACAGATTACTTGCGTAGTTTCATACGAAATGTATGTGTGACTGAGAAAGGGGTCATGAAGTCTCATGGTCTTGATTTGAGAAAACGGGGAACATAGTGACAATAGTGAACAATTTAATTATGGAGAAAATTGAGGTTTATCAGAATATCACCTCGGCAGCCATTTTACTACATCCTCACTAAATGATTTACGTCAGTTCCTCTTCTAAATACTATAGAATGTTTTTGAAGGTTTATAAAACGTATGTTCATTACAGAGCATGAAGTAGCTTTCTGCGCCCCATCGTCATAAAAGTGAGCTCATCTCAAAAGCAATGCTGGTACACGTGTACACCTATTCTGTGAGAAAGAACACTGAATGTTACCTTTCTTGAACAATTTTCTCTGATGTGATATGTTGCAGCCTCTTAGCTGCTCAAAATGTGTCCACACAGTATGATACAGTCTGGCATGCTAAATGGACGTGCTGCGGAAATCTGTTTGCTGTGCACAGATTGCACTATGTACGTGATTCCAAAGAATAAACACGTTTAACATGTACATGTACTGGATGGAACTAGGACTTGATATGCCAGATAGAGGGTATGACTTTTTATTCTAAAGAGATGTCAATCATCCTCAAGAGCTGAGCCTATACTACTAGAAAGGTTGCAATAACCAAAATTTTATAAGAATAAGAGTAAATTTTTATTTAGCATTTCTGATGTTAATGCAGTTTCTGGTGGTAAGTTTCGAGATGAGTAGATAGGGGCCTAAGGAGATAGAATATGTGCACAGGAATATTTGTTCCTCTCCTCCCTGTACTGGGACAGCCATGCTCCGCACTCCGCACGGATCACACAGATTGGTATAATACGGAAGGTATATTTTCTGTGACAACCAGAGCAAGGAATTAAACATAGGGTGAGGAGTCTTATGGCAGCAATTTTTGGCTAGGGGAGAGACAAAGAAAGAAAGAGAAAGACGGGCAGAGAGAGAGAGACAGGCAGAGAGAGAGAGACAGACAGACAGGCAGAGAGAGACAGACAGACAGACACACACACACACACACCACACACACACACAGTCATAGAGAGAGAGAGAGACAGACAGACAGACAGACACTGAGAGAGAGAGAGAGAGAGACAGAAAGACACAGGGAACAACTAACCCAAACTGCGTTGCTCCCACCCTGTTCCCCCAACTCTCCTCACATCCAAAGCAACCATATACTTCAAATTGTAACAGCATTATGATACAGTATAAAAGATATATTTTGAAAAAGAAACATCGGTAGTTGGCATACAACTTTATTTAAGTTAATTAATGGCACAATTCATGTCTGTCAAGTCTGAAAAAAGCAACCCCCCAAAACAAAACAAACACAAAAAACCCAAAAACCAACCCCTCAACAAACAAACATTTAAACAAGCTATACCACAAGTACAACGTAACCAAGCGATGCCCAAAATTATGATGCTAAAGTGCTCACAAATGTGGGGAAAGAATGCTTTCGGTTTGATTATTTTAAGGTACAAGAGTCCCTCTGGACGCTTTAAGTTCGTCTGTACTCTTAATACGCGAATTTATCCCACCCTCATTCATCTCATCGACATTGGCTTTAACTGAAATCTGGCCACTGGCCAGACTGGCCACTTTGTACAAACATGACGTCAGCAGGGGAGCCTACTCTCGTAGATCTAATACTCATTGCAAGGATGAAAGATCGATACGTATTTGGAATAAATATGTAGTGCGAATACCGACTGATAGATGTGAAAAACACCTCTGTCATCACTTAATTTCAGTACAAATAATGGCTATTGTAAAAGTAGGCCTCAGAGAAACAAAAATATACGTTTACTTTACTAACTATATCATACTTACTAGGTCATACGAAATCAATTTCAATACTATTAAAACATAATTTAGCATCGGTATCGAACTATTCTTTTTTATTATCAGAGATCGATCTTTGTACTTTCGTTCTCTCAATCCCATGCCTCGCTGTTGTTGTGGTGTTGAAGTGTTGAGCGTGTTCCGTGTGTGGTTTGTCTGGTTTATTCCATACCGGATAATAAGCCGACACTGATAGATCTACTGAACTATCATTATTCATATTGCTGACCAAAAAAAAGTGTTGAAGACTTTGCTGTCACAATGAAGGCGAAAATGCAGAAATTTAGTTCCCGAAAGGATAAGACGGCTTTGCCGAAGAAGAGGCAGTTTAACAAAATACAGGAAAAAAGGAAAAAACAGAAGAAGGTTACGGATGATGCTGAAATTGAAGCCCTAAGTTCAAAACTATGGCCCAATTTTGATGAAGAAAAAGAGGTACGTGTACTCTTACAGACGTAGATCTAGATCTAGTATCATACAGTATGATGTAGTCTCTGCCGTTGGTCTGAAGACAGAGTTCTCGGCGCTTTTTCGGTAGTTCCCACCCCGCAATTGTTATTCGCCGGTTTTGGCCTCAAGAGTAATGGGTTTGCCCCCCTGAATTTAACCATAATTTGACAACTTGTTAGGTTTGATATCTTAGCTCACCGCGCAGAGATATCAAACCTAACAACATGATGTAGATTACCGAAAAAGCACCTCTAGGCTCAAATAAGGGGGGTGGGAACTACCGAAAAAGCACCAAGTTCTCTACGCCTACCCTTACATTATCTCTACCTTCAACCCTAACCTAGTCCTAAGCCTAACCCATTCCAGTCAGATAAAGTATACAGTTACTTTCGATTTCCACACGGGAGTAAAAGTAAAAATTTACCCATTTTATTAAGATATTAGATTTGGATTCTAGATTAGATCTAGATTTAGATTCTAGTTAAAACTGCAATGATTTAGATAATGAATGAAGTGACTATTTCTCAGAACGCTCGGGAAAATAAACTTGACCTTTATTTCTCTGAACGGTTTCTGTTCTCGAGAGGCCTTGCGAGATTTAGGTGTCATCTTTCATTCTGCCTTTCTACGAGGACTGGGAAGAAACATTTTTTGCCTCGAATTCAATTTCTAGAGCTAGAGATTTTTAAATGTCTGAATATTCAGATCTTCAATTGTGGTTCGGGTAACGTTCCCTGGCTATACTTCATTTGAAATTGCCTTTAAAAGGTACTGCGAGAAAACAAGACTGCTCAACTTTGTCAGTAACCTATTTAGAATTTAGTCACCCTTAAAGCAAAAACTAATCCATGTAAACAAAAAAAAAATCCCTTCACGCCCCTTACACCTTATACACACGTTAAATGACATTAATGCGCGGGCGCTCACTACACACACACACACACTCGGGCCACTCCATTCACAAAACAAATTTCGAGAACGGAAAAAGTTCAGAGAAATAGAGTTCAAGTTTATTTTCCCCGAGCGTTAGGAGAAATAGGGCCGGCCTTTAGAATTTAGATAAATTAGATCCTATATCTTTGGTGACAATGGAGGATCTGATGGTGAAATAGACTCACAAGATAGCCTTCTCCTATCAATGTGGAGAAAACAATAAGGACAGCAATTGAAAGCTGCGCTTTTTGCTTCTCATCATGTCCATGGCTGTGTCTGTCTTTTGGTGCCAGTTCCCCAACTCCTTGCCACTGCAGGCCACCATCTGTCACTGTCTCTGCTGTGATAAATTCACGCAGTAGTCTCTGCCTAAGATTCCACCGCTCATGATCCCGGTTCGCTTAAAGATTCTGCTGTTGTATGAAAACAGGATTTTTACAACACAAAAGTCACCCCTAAGATCCTGCTATGAAGGACTACATTTGGCTAAGATCCGGAATTTCAGATCATGATTGCATAAAAACCTGGACAAGAGCCTCTGATCGACCAAACTGAAAATTTGTGATCATTGAACTACCTGTTGAGTCACAGATCAGGCACTCTCAGGAATGTAATCACCATGGTCTAGTGAAGTTTGTGTTGTTAGGGTATAAGTTTAATTGTAGTTTTATCCAGTTTCCTTATCTTTCCAGGAGTTGAAGCCCTCAAGCAGTATGACATTTGCAGATTTTCCACTGTCAAAGAAAACCCTCACAGGTACATGAACGGAACTTTGTTGTTGTTTTTGTTTCAGGTTGTTTTTTTTTGCTCACTCAGATTTGGGAGGTCGATTTACGGAGACGAGTAATCAAGGCCATTTTGGGAATTCCCAAACAATTTTCATTTTGTTTTCTTTTGCTGCTTATTCTTTTAGTTGTATGTTGGATTTGCAGATCTTTTATTATCCTGAAAGGGGCTTATAAATGACTTAACACAATCAGGCTCTTATAAAAGTTATAATTTGGTGAAGTTTTATTGAAGAATTGAAGCTCTTTAAAAGCAGTAAGACCAGTGTCATAGTGTAGTGGTTCGGGTGTTCACCATTACATGCTAAAGGCATGAATTCTTTTCTGTCTTAGGAAATCTATTTTATGAAGTATCGTGATTGAGTATTGCAAGATGTCTCTTGATGATAGATGTTGTTTAAAGTTTCATGTCTTATGTGAGAAGCCAGGGTGATCTTGTAGTTCCGTTCGTTTAAGTCCACGATCCATTTGTTTACATCCTGAGAAGAAATCCGGAAGTCTTGATAACCAAATAGGCAACACAAAGAACACGGATGCAACTTAACTGCAAAACATCAAATTATGGTAAAATTCAGGGGGGGGGGAGGGGGACCCCCCTCCATAATTTTATTAGGTCAGGCCCCTGTAACCCCCCTACTCTAGACTTTAACGAACGAAACTACAAAATTGCCGAAGCCAGCTCTTCCCAATTAGCTGCGAATGCCTTGTCTACATTTTTGTTGAATCTCTTACTTTGTGCCTGCAATATGGGAAGCTCATCTACTTGTTCTGTTTCTCTGACTGCAGGATTATCTGAGCAGAAATTCGTCACCCCGACAGAAATTCAAAGGGAGTCCCTCCTGTTTGCCTTGAAAGGTCATGACATACTGGGAGCTGCCAAGACGGGCTCAGGAAAAACTTTGGCTTTCCTCATCCCGGTGAGTCAAACTCATCGAGTTCAGACTACGGCTTGGAATTCCCAAAGCTGTGAATTTTATATCTGTAGTTGTTTGTCTATGCTGATTATTGTATAATATATTTGCTAACTCAATAGGTGACTGTAGGGACTAATGACTCTGATTTGTCAGTCAGAAAACAGGCATGGCAACATTTCCTCCGTTGTGGTGGGAGCAATGTTGACTCACATTGAGCTCCTGTTTTGTCATTATGTTGTTAACAAATTTGGGACAATGTCACATCTTGTCAGATTTTCCCTTCTTACCATTTGTAAATACCACAGATCTTTACTTTTGTTTAGTTGAAAGCAAAAGTTAAAGCGTTTTCTGAATAATGTGCTGTGAAATGTGGAGAAATAGCTTCAGTGGTGTCCGACCCAGCACGTGGCCACGTCTGATAGTTTTTGAGAGGTCTGATTTATCCAAGGATCAGAGCTTTTTTCCCGAAAAGTAGACTTTGATTTACAAACAGAATAGCATCTGGTCTTGTATATATACTGAATTGTTGACACACATAGACAGGGAAACATTGTTGCAGATATATTTTGAAGTTATTGATTATTGTGGCATCGGTGGCCTAGTGGTTAGGCTACCGGACTCATAATCGTGAGGTTGCGGGGTCGGGGGTTCGAGCCACGGGCCCGACGTTGTGTCCTTGGGAAAGGCACTTTACACGAATTTTCCTCACTTCACCCAGGTGGAAATGGGTACCCGGCCATAGACAGCGAAAGATCTTGTCAGTATGTTAGTGTTTTAGCGCCTATAAATGGCTGCTTGCACTGTATGCTTCCCAGGAAGTTGAGGTTGTTTCACTATGCTTTCAGGTCTGCTGGGGTAATAGTATAGATTGTGAAGCGCATAGAGCTTGCTGTTGAGCAGGGATTTGCGCTATACAAATGCTATCTATTATTATTGATGTATCGCTTTATTTGGCATTTCTCCTGGTGGTAGTACATCATCTTTCTTTAGCTGTGTTTTCTTTTGGTTACTGTACTGTCACGAACAAGGCAATCCCCAATGTCCGGATCGGATGCGGTAACAAGTTTTACTGTCGTGTAGCTGTACATGTTTGTTGTAGATGTTTGTGGTGAAACAGTTGTATAAAAGATCCACACGTCAAAGTGTTACGTCCAGTGGATGGCTACAAAAGCTGAGCAGGACAAGTTCAAGGGTTACTTACTCTCTCCCTGTACTGATATGTCAAGGGTTAAAGGTTTACTTACTTACTTACTCCCTGTACTGATATGTCAAGGGTTAAAGGTTTACTTACTCACTCTCTCCCTGTACTGATATGTCAAGGGTTAAAGGTTTACTTACTCTCTCCCTGTATGTACTGATATGTCAAGGGTTAAAGGTTTACTTACTTACTTTCTCCCTGTACTGATATGTCAAGGGTTAAAGGTTTACTTACTCACTCTCTCCCTGTACTGATATGTCAAGGGTTAAAGGTTTACTTACTTACTCTCTCCCTGTACTGATATGTCATTGGTTTGCGTGAAAAGAAAAGTCAGAAGCTTGATGGTTTGACATACAGGGTTGGGTCATTTCTATGATTGTGATTGTATTTGTTCCCCCTGGTCGCAGGTTCTGGAGCTACTGTTCAGACAGCGCTACACTCCTGGGTTTGGCCTCGCTGCGCTGATTATGTCCCCTACTAGAGAACTGGCCTATCAGTCGTTTGACATGCTCCGGAAAATGGGCAAGCACCATGACCTCTCGTTTGGATTAGTCACGGGTGGAATGGTGAGACCTTTTTCTTTTGTCTGATTTCTGTGGTTGACTGTGTGTGTTTATACTTTGCTTTCTCTCTTGTTCTCTTGTAATGCGTGTTTCACAGTGTTTTGACGGACTTGAGATTTGTTTACTAGACCCATCGCTCTAGGCTTGCTTTGAAAAAATGTTTTCACTAAGCCAGTTTTAGACACACTCATGTGGCCTTATGTACATGCAAGCACACACTGTAAAACTTTTTAGTGGTTGGTTGGCGGGTGTTCTGGTGTGGTTTGCTGCTTCTTTCCTATCAAACATCTATCGTCCTGATCTCTCCTCCTTGTTTTTTGTGTTTGTTACTGGCTTGTAACACCTCTAATCTTCGGCACTTATATGAGCTTATTGTGTTGCAAGTGCTGTTAAACTTTTACTACCTTATGCAGTTGGGAGCGCCGTTAAACCTCTACTAAAACTTTAAAAACTCTTACTAAAAAAACAAAACCTTTTTTGACCAATGTGTTTAGGGCCTGAAAGAGGAAGCCAAGAAGCTGACGAGCACCAACGTGATCATCTGTACCCCGGGCAGATTCCTGCAGCACCTAGAGCAGACGCCAAACTTTACAGCCGATGAGTTGAAAGTATTGGGTATGCCTTGCTTGCTCATTTTGTTGTTGATTGTGTTTGATTTGATTTGTAAAAACATATATGATAGTTTATGATTATAGAATTCATAATAGTAATTTCTGTTACCTTGTTTCATGTTTCCTGATCTAGCTTTCTTAGGAAAGACTTTGTTCTGTAAGTAGTAGAAGGAGCTCAGAATTTTTTTGTGTAACTTTAGAGCAATTTTTTCTTCAATGCTTGAAAAGATATCACTGCGAAGACTTCAGTTTGTATAAAATTTGAATTTTAAATGTGGGTGATAATTAAAATGCTGGAGAGGAAAGAAAACAGAAGTTGGTTAGTCCTTGGACGGTTGTTAGATATCTGTATAGTTGAGGTAAAATTTGACCAGAGTGTAAGGAAATTTGATTTGTTAGTAGTTTGTGGAGTAGTTTGACATATTGCTAGGCTCCAGTCTGGCATACAGGTATGGTACATATTTCTCCAGGCACGCTCACATATTGTCAGGCTTCAGTCTGGCATACAGCTATGGCACATATTTCTCCAGGCATGCTCACATATTGTCAGGCTTCAGTCTGGCATACAGGTATGGTACATATTTCTCCAGGCACGCTCACATATTGTCAGGCTTCAGTCTGGCATACAGGTATGGTACATATTTCTCCAGGCATGCTCACATATTGTCAGGCTCCAGTCTGCTGATGTTCCCACTTTTAGATATCCATTGCCAGTGCTCATGTTTTGATTCTGAGCTGTCTTCATAAAAACGTTAGTTTGCACATCTAAAAAGCACTACAAAGACACCCTGAAAATGTCTCCGAAGAACTTCGAGTGGAAATGAAGCTTTTTTATACTTAAAATGTGTAAAAAAAATTCCCAGCCAGAATTGGTCTCCTCGGCCGTAGCAGAAGCCACAGGTCATCGCAATCCTTATTTCTTTTCTATCTCCCTTAAACAATGTTTCCCTTTGCAGGTGCACTGGTCTTTCTCTGCCGTTGAGGAACTGTTACTGTCACAAGTGTTCAGAGACAAGTAATGTCATCTACTTCTTTTTTTTTCTTCCTTCTTAGTTTTGGATGAGGCAGACAAGATCTTGCACATGGGCTTCGCAGAAACGATGAATGCCGTACTCTCATCCCTACCCCCCCAGAGGCAGACGTTGCTGTTTTCTGCCACACAGACCAAGTAAGCTGTGGGGGAGACTGTTGTGACTTCAAACCCATTGTTTGATTGCTACACTGGTAGCTTCATGTGATCAACTAATCTTGTTATAGTGCAGTTCAAAGAAAAATTTTGTCTGGGGCATGTAAAGAAATTGGAATCATTAAAAAATAATTGTAGGATGCCCTTGCGGGTGATCAGTGACTCTCATGTACCTGCAGCTTGCGTTGTGTGAAGTAAGAATTAGGACTTCAACATGACAGTCACCGTTCATTGCTCGATGTTTTTTTTATAACATCCATGATGGTTCTGTTCTATTTTGGGATATTTCTCCACTTTCTGCCAGGAGTGTCAAAGACTTGGCCAGACTGAGTCTGAAACGGCCCGTGTACGTCTCTGTGCACGAAAAAGCAAAGGAGACAACGCCCTCTGCTCTGGAACAGGTGAGCTCAAACTTAAAGATAGATCATGAATATTGACTACGACATGAAATCTTTTTATTCTGTCAATGGAAATGACTACACAAATCACTCAATCTTTCATCCCCTGTATGGTAGCGACAACATACAAATCTTTCCCCACTCCATGGAGTGCACAACGGTGATAGTGTCTTGGGCAGAGTGCAAGTGGAAGCACGATGTGTGTGGGTGTCTGTTGGTGAAGAGCATGGCTGTCAAACTCAATCGTGAAGGGTGCCAAAACTCAAATCACACCTACCTAAGGTTACAGGCCAGACTGGATCATCACCCATTGAGCTGTGGAAAACTGCACATTTTTTAAAACAATGACGTGTATTAAAACAGGCAAAAGTTAAATTGGTGACAAATCAAGGCATACCACTTTTCTTCTTTTTTTTTCTTAAATGTTGTATTTGTTCTGAGGATAGACGGTGTTCTGTTTGTGTCTTCTGTTCCAAGCAGTTACATACTATACAAACAGATATATATGTTACATATATATCTGTTTGTATAGTTGATTGTACAGTGTTATGTTAGGACAGTCAGAGTAGTTGATGGTTTGTCTGTCTGGTGTTCCCCACAGCGCTACGTCATTTGTGAGACTGAGAGAAAGATCAACATGCTATGGTCCTTCATCATGACTCATAAACATCAGAAGATTTTGGCTTTCATGTCGTGCTGTAAACAGGTATGGTACTATATGGTGCTATATGCACACCCTTCATCAGTGTTACTTTTATGTAGCAGGTGTTTATAAATGTCGTACTCTGTAGTGTGTCGTATTCTGATGCTTTTGTGCTGTTACAAAATAAAGAATGTATTTGAACTTTGTATTATGAAACCTATTTTTGGCTGGACAGAGCTATATGGAAAGTGGCCAAAGTTGTTTATAGTTCACTCCTCTCTTTGACTGAGCTTTACAACATCAATCTTGTGAAAGTAGCAAAGAGTACCGTTGCGGACACCAACCACCCATTAAATTCGGAATATCAAACATTGTTAGAAATGAACGTTTTTTGTTTTTTTTAAACAGCGAGAACTAATAGGTAAAGAACTTTCTTCAGACTGTTATCAATGTGAGCCATTTAGCTGTTGACATGTGTGCAAGAATAACATTATTTAAAATGTTCATCCAATGATTATTCCTGTGTGTGTTGGCAAGTGTGTGTGCGTGTATGTAATTTTTTTTACAAGTGTTGTGTGATGCCACTGACCATTTATGTGCGTGTAATTTTTTCCTTATCAAAACCTGTTGAGGTTCGCTCCAAGTGTTCATTTTCCTGGTCCAAATGTGTACAGGTTCGCTACTTGTTCCAAGTGTTCAAGAAGATGCAGCCTGGGCTGACAGTGCTGTGCTTGCACGGACACATGAAGCAGAACCAGAGGATGATCGTGTACAACGCGTTCACAAACAAGCAACACGCCATCCTACTGGCCACAGATGTGGCTTCGCGTGGCTTGGGTAAGTTTTTATCTATTAGCTTTGGTAATTTCTTGCTATTGGCTTGGGTAAGTTCTTGGTAAGTTTTTTCTATGAGCTTTCTATCGGCTTGGGTAAGTGTTTTGCTATGGGCTTGGGTAAGCTCTTGCTATGGGCGAAAACATGTTTGAACAGTGAGTAAATATTGCCATATCTATTTAGGAATTTCTAAAACTTGATTTGTCTCTGGGCAAACTTTGTCGCAAAGAAATATTGTAATCATGTGTTGTCTGCCCTCAGAAGTTTATTGGGATGAAATTTCTAAAATAGATTTTCTTATCCGTAGATTTCCCTTCTGTCAGCTGGGTGCTTCAAGTGGATAAGCCGGAGAATGTGGATACCTACATCCACAGAGTGGGCCGCACAGCCAGGTTTGTGAGATGTGCACCAGAGTGTGCACTGTAGGTTTGTGAGAAGTGCACTAGTTTGTGCACTGTAGTTTTATGAAAAGTGCACTAGGTTGTTTTTATATGACAAATGTTGTATTGATGTTTTTATATAACAAATGTAGATTGATGTTTTTAAATGACTAATGTTGTATTGATGTTTTTATATGACAAATGTAAATTGATGTTTTTATATCACAAGTGTAGTATTGATGTTTTTATACGTCAAGTACAGTGTTCATGTTTTTATACAGCAAGTATAGTGTTAATGTTTTTTTATGAAGCAAGTGTAGTGTTGAACTGGATCAAGGCATAGGACAAATATCTTGATGTTGACGTTATTAACGTGTGTGAATTTCTCGCCCACAGATATGAGAAGTCGGGACAAGCTCTCATGTTCTTGCTACCCTCAGAGGAAAAACATTTGGTGGAAAATCTGGCAAAACGGAAGATCCCAATCAAGAAACTGAGGTCAGTGACTCTTGGCACTTGCTGTTTGATCTTGTCTGATCTCTTCCACACTTTGCCTTTTTTTTCTATCTACGAGATCGTTTCATTCTCCATTCGGAAAGGATTGGATTGCTCTTGATTTGCTGTGACTGAGCGATTAAAGCCTAGCGACTGAGCGATTAAAGCCTAGCGACTGAGCGATTAAAGCCTAGCGACTGAGCGATTAAAGCCTAGCGACTGAGCGATTAAAGCATAACGACTGAGCGATTAAAGCCTAGCGAATGAGCGATTAAAGCCTAGCGACTGAGCGATTAAAGCCTAGCGACTGAGCGATTAAAGCATAGCGACTGAGCAATTAAAGCCTTGCGACTGAGCGATTAAAGCCTAGCGCTTCGCTACCTCCGTATTACAAAGTTTTATCCGCTCAGTACCTAGTTTTGAGAAACTTGGCGTCAGAATTTAGAGTTTCACAATTTGTCAAGATTTTTCTAATGGAATTCTTTGTATATCTTGATAACGTCTTCAAATAATCTGGCTATTTTGATAGAGTTGACAGAACATTTGGTATCTGACCTCATGGTCGTAGTAACGCAGAACGGGCGAAAATGTCTGATAGAACTTTTAGACCTGCATGTTTGCCGACAATCGTCTGAAATCCGACAATCGCGACACGACCCGCGAACCGGCCGATGCTATCGCTAGGCCCGCCTGTATCACTATCAGTCAATGTGCGTAGTGCGAGGCTTGGCCGACTGCCAGCGTCCCCCTTTTTCTCCCGTCGGCTTCGTCGGCACTTTCGTTTTCGTGCCGACCGCCGACGCGCGCACCGCCGACTGCCGACGTCGGCGTTTCCGACATAATTGTCGGAACCTAAATAGAAATGCGAATACGAAAAAGGACGACAACTTAAATTATCTACTTTCAGTTTCGTGCTCGAGCGGCCATTTTGAATTTCGTTTGTTGACTAATTCAATTGTTCAGATCGTGTGGATTCATTCAAGTCCGACTCTCTTGTTCTAATAGAATCTAGATCTAGATATCTAGATCTAGATCTAGATTTATATAGATCATTATAGACCTCAATGGAGGATTCATATTCCAATTCTATTGTGTCAAACCCTATCATAGGTTGTGCTGTAATCTTTATATTGGTAAAAATAAGCATTTCATCAGGTGCGTGAATTGTTTATTTATTTAGTAAAGATCTAGAATCTAGATCTAGATATCTAGATCTAGAACCTAGACTCAGCTGAGTCCCTCTGTTCGGAATCGGATGCGGATTTCTAGTTCAAGGCCTATTCCTATTTGCTTGTTCTACAAGATCTAGATCTAGATTTATTTAGATTACTAGATTTCTAGATCTAGATAGATCTATATGAAGGATTCATATTATATTCCAATTCTATTGTTATTGTATCAAACATCTTTGTATCACAAAGCCATCAAAATCAAACTCTGTAGACACTCTGCCCCCACCCGTAGGAGCAAAGCCAAATGGTCCTTCAAGAAGGCTGACTGGTCGTTGTTCAATGCCCACATGGAAACAGAGACTTTAGCAAATGACATGCCTAACATGACGGACGCCACAAAATTAAACACGTGCCTAACTGAGGCCATTTTAAAAGCAGCCAAACAAAGTATCCCTAAGGGCGCTCGTAAACTTCCTAAACCCTTCTGGAATGAGGAAGCGGACAAACTGATAGAAGAAAAAGTGCAATTGAGGAAAAAAGCCATGGCAACCAAAACACGAGAAGACATTGGAAACTACCAAGAGGCGTCTAAAAGAACCACATCCCGCCTAAACGAGATGAAGCGCGACTGTTGGCGCAACTTTACCTCAGAGATGTCCCTCTCGACTGACCCTCAACAAGTCTTCCGAGTCATAAATGCCATCTCAGGCAAGAAAACCCCCTCCACCGGCAGTGCACTCACAGAAAACAATAAAACCCTAAAAGGAGATAGAAGCAAGGCTGAAGCCTTTTGCCGTGAATACGCCTCAGTCAGCCGCCTAAAACTCGACAAGGCAGACAAACACCGGCACTACCAGCTTAATGAAAAGCTTAAACTCCTCCCTATTGACCAGAACACAGGCTATGATTCTCTCCTCACCATGGCTGAACTGACAGTTTGTATAGGAAAGCTGAAAAACGGCAAATCTCCCGGGCTTGATGGTGTAACCAATGAGATGATCAAACACCTCGGACCCATCGCAAACTCTGCCCTGCTCCGTCTTTTCAACCTATCATGGGAAATGGCCATTGTCCCAAACAGCTGGCGACGTGCCAAAATCATACCAATACCCAAGAAGAATAAGCCTGCAGGAAAGATTGGGTCCTACCGCCCCATCAGTCTCACCAGCTGCCTTGCTAAGCTGATGGAGACCCTCGTCAAGAACCGCCTGATGTTCTTTCTGGAGAGTAACAACTTGCTGAGCAACAACCAATCGGGCTTCCGCAAGTTACGGTCTACTGAAGACCAAGTCCTGTGTCTAACACAACATATCTCCGATGGATTCCAGGCTCGTCCCAAAATGAAACGAACTGTGCTGGCCCTCGTGGACTTCTCGCGTGCCTTTGACAAGGTATGGCGCACGAGGTTAATGGAGAAGATGATTGAGAAATCTACTCCCAGCCGCATCACCCAATGGATAGGTTCGTTCCTCAGAGACAGATACGCCTGCGTCGAGCACGGCAACGCAACAAGCAGGCTTCGCCGTTTCGAGCAGGGAGTCCCCCAAGGCAGTGTCCTGTCCCCCACACTGTTCCTTGTCTTCATCGATGATATTGAAGCAGGCCTGCCTGAAACCGTGAAGACGGGACTCTATGCTGATGACTATACAATATACGCCACCAACGAAGACATAAATCAGGCTGAAAACAGTGTCCAAGCAGCCATAAACATACTTGAGCAGTGGGCAAAGCAAAACAAGATGGAGATCAGTACGGAGAAAACAGAGTGCACCCTCTTCACCACCAGCACCCACGAGGCCAAGCGAAAACCAACACTCTCACTCAAAGGCGCCCCCATCACCTTCAACTCCAACCCCACCTTACTTGGGGTTACACTTGATCGTACTCTATCCTCCAACGCCCACATCCAAAACCTTGAGTTAAAACTGTCCAGCAGACTTCGACCATTGAAAGCCCTTACAGGCACCACCTGGGGTGCCTCCAGGGAATGCATAAAGCCTATATATTATGCTACTTGTCGGTCAGCTATCGACTATTGTGCCCCTGCCTACATGCCTCTTGCCAAACCCTCCAATCTGCAGAAACTGGAAAGAAAGCAGAATGAAGCAGCAAGAATCATCACAGGCTGCTCAAGGGATACTCGTGTGGACAGCCTCCTCATCGAAGCAGACATTTTACCACTAAGGCATAGAGCTGATGCCTTGACTGCCATCTCATTCGAGAAGTCCATGCGTCTGCCTACAACGAACCAACGCAAAGCCTCCGCAACAAAATCAGTGCCCACGCGGACAGGCAAGTCGAACTGGAGAAAGCATGCCCAGAACCTCGTAGCCGAAACTGAACTGGATACGTACCCACGTGAGGAGCTGGTTGTTTTACCCCCCACACAACCGTGGAAGGCTGCATCATACAACGTGACTTTTAGCACCGATCTTGTCGCCGACTGCAAACGTGCTAATGAACCAGCTGTCAGGAAAGCAGCAGCAGAGGCTACAATTCGTTCGCTCCCCCTGCCCGATGTAGAAGTCTGGACTGACGGTTCAGCTGAGCACGGTACTGAGTATGGAGGAAGTGGAATACTGATCAAGACCGGCGATACCGAACTCGACCAACGTGTACCTGCGGGCCGGTATTGTTCCAGCTACAGGGCCGAGCTTGTAGCTCTCGACACAGCGCTTGACATGCTTGTGGCACTACATACAGCAGGCAACCTTCCGAACAGTGCACGCATCCATGTATACACTGATTCTAGATCAGCAGTCATGCGCCTCTCATACGGCCCTACCAACCAATCGGAAAAGGTGGCCTGCTCAATCTGGCAACATCTGCACACCCTCTGTCAACGCTCTGAATGTTCCATCCACTTACAGTGGATTCCAGGCCACGCCGGACTGGCTGGGAACGAGGAAGTTGACAGCATCGCCAAAGAAGCAACAGCGCTTACCCAGATTGACACGCCAATCGATTTCTCGACAGCTAAAGCCGTCATCCATCGATCGACCCGCGCAAAGTGGAAAAGAGAGGCGAAACCCAAACTGCCGTTTGCCCAGCCGCCGTCATTCCAGCTTGAGGCCTCGCTCAGACGACAGGACCGCCGGCTTCTCTATCAAATGAGAACTGGTGGAAAATCGCCCAAACTGAGATCATATCTCCACAAAATTGCGCCAGCAGACAACCCAGATCCGTCCTGTCGAGCCTGCAAGGAGGAGGACGAAACTATGGACCATGTGTTCCTGAGGTGTCCCGCCAGCTATCGTGCTAGAACCCGTCTGCTGGGACATTTCAGTAACCCACTTTCAGCACTTTTTAAGGACCCCCGGGCGAGTGTTGAGTTCCTGCGTGCTGTCGGCATCGCTGACCGCTTATGAAGCCACAGCGCCAGAAGAGAGAGAGAGAGAGATTGTATCAAACCCTATAGCAATGTAGATGTAAGCCATATATAGATCTAGAATCTAGATCTATATGCTCCTTGTTTGTTTTGGAGTGTGGTTTTTTAAATTAAAATTTTTAAAAATTTAGGACTTGTTTTGGCCTTTTTACATGAGTCCCGTTGCAGGTTCTTTTTGGGGGTGGGGTTAGGTCTCTTCTTTATTGTATTTGTTGGGGTGGTCGCTCGTTACTTGGATGTTCTTCCTTATGACACCCACAAAGGCTTTGGGGGGGGGGGTTGCGCAAAATTTTCAGACAATCTGGTTGAGGCTCACATGCAGGTCTAAACTTTGTCATTCTGATGTAGCCACCTGTAGATGGTTTGTTTCCTTTGAAAAGTGACTGGTAGAGGCAGGTGTTGAGTGGCTGGTAGAGGCAGGTCTTGAGTGACTGGTAGAGACAGGTGTTGAGTGACTGGTAGAGGCAGGTGTTGAGTGACTGGTAGAGGCAGGTGTTGAGTGACTGGTAGAGGCAGGTGTTGAGTGACTGGCTCGCTCTTCTTGTCTGTTGTTCTATTTGTCTTGTGACAGTCTGCTGTACTATCTGTCTTGTGAAAGTTGTGAGAATGGCAGAGCGACCAAGTACCCAAAGTATGTGTTGTGTTGGAAGACAGAACGTAAACCATTCCCACTGTTGTGACGTTTTCACTCTTTGCTCACGGCGCTTTGCGTGTATATTTCAGAGTGAACAAGAAGCAGGTGTTTGATGTGACCAAAAAGTTGGAAAGTTTGTGTGCCTCAGAACAAGAGATGAAGGCCAATGCCCAGAAGGTGAGTGTTTGGTGTCGAGGGAAAAATTTTGTATGCTTTTATACTTGTGCACATTTGTTGATGTGTTTCCTGACATATGCTTTTATACTGGTGCACATTTGTTGATGTGTTTCTTGACATATGCTTTTATACTTGTGCACATTTGTTGATGTGTTTCCTGACTCATGCTTTTATACTTGTGCACATTTGTTGATGTGTTTCCTGACTCATGCTTTTATACTTGTGCACATTTGTTGATGTGTTTCCTGACTCATGCTTTTATACTTGTGCACATTTGTTGATGTGTTTCCTGACTCATGCTTTTATACTTGTGCACATTTGTTGATGTGTTTCCTGACTCATGCTTTTCCCTCTCCACTTACAACGGATGGAGTGTAGCAATTTGGTGAAGTATGGGAATGTTTTTGAGGGATGGAGTGTAGCAATTTGGTGAAGTATGGGAATGTTTTTGAGGGATGGTGTACAATTTGGTGAAGTATGGGAATGTTTTTGAGGGATGGAGTGTGTAAATTTGGTGAAGTATGGGAATGTTTTTGAGGGATGGCGCACAGTTTGGTGAAATATGGAAATGTTTTGGACGTGATATTTTTCTATCTTGTCTTTTACTCAAACATTCATGCCCATTTCATAAATGTGGAAATACCTTTGGTTGTTGGTTGTCTGATTGTTTTCTTGACCTGCTCTTGTCACGACAGGCTTTCACGTCTGCCATGAAGACTCTGCACATCCTTGATCCAGTCGCCTTCAAAGCTGTAGATCAAGAAGCATTTGCCAGGTAAGTCTTGTCTCTCACTAAAGCGACGCTGGTGAAAAAAAGCACAACTGGTTGTTTTTACTTCCTTCCCGTCCCTCTGTTGTCTCTGTCTTCTGGTTCACTTTCCCCCTGACATATTAGGACTGCTGCAGCAACAGTAGTGTGGAGAATCTATTGTCATCTCTTAAGCACAAACTGTAATGGCAAAGGTTGGAATGGGGAGGGGGGGGGGGGGTCAGTGGAGGCGTGTGTAGTATGGTACGGAGGTGAAAGGTTTTTGTTGGCACACCAAAAGTGATATGGTAATTGTAATACAAGATTGTTCCACATAAGGACAAGGGTTTGTTGGTGTGGTCAGCTGGTCACTACTTAAGGCAGTGTTACTTTATGATTGTAATGATGAGTGACATTCTGCGATGGGGAACATTCTTGTGTGTTTTACGTGGTTGGTTAGGTCTACGAGGTAGAGTAGGAAGAACCGTTGCTGCCATTTGTGTCAAAATTTTACTCTTGGTGTCTGTCTGAATGATTTGGGTGAAGCACACAGCCAGGAGGAAGATGGTGGGATGAGAGAGAAGAGATAACAGTGAAGAGTGTTCCTCTCTAACCCGGCACACAGGTCTTACAGTCAACTCAATTCTTCTTCCGTTTTCGTTGTTTTGAGATTTGTTCTCTGATTTCTTTTAGTTGATATCTATAACAATTTTGTACAATAAGCTCCTAGTTTTTTGTTTGGTCTGGTATGTATTTGTGTCCATTTGCCTTTGTTCATAGAAGAGTTACTTGTCAGTGTGGCAGTAAGTGTAATTGAGGAAAAATTTGAACAAATTATTTTGCATTGATAACCAGATTGGAAAATAATTTATTTCAGATCGTTGGGTCTAGTCCAGGCTCCACGACTTCCTGTCGCGAAGAAGCGGAAAGCTCAGCCAGTCTCAGGTGCTGAGGCAAAAGCTGCCGGCAACGAGAGTGACGAGGATTCTGACAGTGAAAGTGAGGACGATGACGAGGAGGAGGAAGGCGAGAGTGAGGAGGAGGAGGAAAAGGAAGGAATCTCACAAGCTGGAGGGAAAGATACCAAGTAGGCAAAGATTGATAGATATCTACTCTTCATAGGAAAAAAATTAATGTCGCCTCGGTTATACTTATTTGTTCCAAGTTTTGTTGAAATTGGTCGCATGATGACCATGATTGGTACTTTTTTTTTTTAGACGCCCTGTATTATCTGAAAATGCTCGGTGGGGGTGGGAGGGGGGGCGGGGTTGCATGTTAGTGTGCTGTGGAAACATCTTTAGGGAGACGTAATCAAAAGTAATGCAATTGATCCAGGGGATTATCACATGTGGCTGCTGCTTGCTTATTGGGTGGAACTTTACAGATAGTTGTCTGCTTATTGGGTGGAATGTTACAGGAAGTTGTCTGCTTTCCTTAGTTCATTCAGTTTGAGAAAGTACTAATGCTTATAATAATCACTTCCAAAGCAACTGTCCACGAACTTTGGGGGGGGGCTTTTTTTCAATTCCCAGATATGTCTAAGAAATTCTAGGGGATCTTGTGTGCCGGGCTTTTGCCCTATGAATGGGAGTGTATTAGGAAAGGTATGACGAGGGTGTCATTTTTTTCTTGCTTTCCAGTGGTTTTATTTAGTAAGAATGTAGAAATGGAGTAGTTTTCTTTCTCTCTAAAGCCAATGGCATTTTATGGAGGTTTCTTGGAGTAGGCATAATCTCTTCTCGTGGAAAAATGTAGCAAAGTAAGGTGGCTACAGTCAGAGGTGAAGTTGTTGTATTTTTAGAAGAAAGCTGCGTGCACTTGTGCAAGTTCTCCTGTTTAGTGTTTGTCGTCGTCTTTTTCTGTCCTGTAGATTCATGGTGGACAGCGAGGATGAAGACGAGGGCTCCTTCTACGATGTGGTCAAAGATGTGGAGGTGGCCGCAGGGGATCAGCAGGAGGAGGTCAGTTGTTGCGTACCGTCACTGGGAAGTCACTGGGAATGTATTGTGTGAAGTCACTGTGAAGTCACTGGGAATATATTGTTTAGGGTCATTGTGAATATATTGTGTGAGGTCACTGGGAATATATTGTGTGAGGTCACTGGGAATAAATTGTGTGAAGTCACTGGGAATATATTGTGTGAGGTCACTGTGAATGTATTGTGTGAGGTCACTGGGAATGTATTGTGTGAAGTCACTGGGAATATATTGTGTGAGGTCACTGGGAATATATTGTGTGAGGTCACTGGGAATGTATTGTGTGAAGTCACTGGGAATATATTGTGTGAGGTCACTGGGAATATATTGTGTGAAGTCACTGGGAAGTCACTGGGAATGTATTGTGGGAAGTCACTGGGAATGTATTGTGTGAAGTCACTGGGAATGTATTCTGGGAAGTCACTGGGAATGTATTGTGTGAGGTCACTGGGAATATATTGTGTGGGGTCACTGGGAATATATTGTGTGAAGTCACTGGGAATATATTGTTTAAGGTCACTGGGAATAAATTGTTTGAATGAATTATTGCTTTGTTATATAAACTTTCTGAATGTAAGTAGACAACAATGACCTCTGGCCCTTTTGTCTTTTGTAAGGTTTGTTGTTTTTTTGGAGGGGGCGGCAGGCGGCATTAGTTTTTGCCTTTTGGGTGTTTTTTTACTGTTGGGGGGGGATGGGGGTTGTAATTAGCTTTGATCTATTATACGGTTATGG